AGATCGAGCGCGAGGAGAACGAGGCATCAACCATCAAAGAAATTGTTGTGAAGGTTTCTCACAAAGTTGGGGTGTGTCCCGCATCAGTTTTTAATGTGTTAAGACAATACAAAAAAAATCACACCTTTTCTGAGCCAATGACCAGTAAACATCGTAAAAGTATTGTTAAATCATTGGATGAAGCTGATAAGCATGCGATTAGGAGGAAAGTGCATGAATTCTTCTTTAGGAATGAAATACCTACTGATCGACCAGCCAAAGATTGCTAGGGACGAAAGGGGGAAATGCGATGAAAAAACCTTACCATTAGACGATTTTATATGGAGTCATAGGCGGAGATCGGAGAGACTTGAATTATTAATTGAATTTATATTTTATTACAACTGGTAGTATTAATATTTTTTTGCGATTCATAATGACGTGATACCAAACATACATTATAAGAAATAAATATACACAAACACTGAATATTGAGAACAAAATAAATATATTTTTTAGGCAACAAGTAATATTCCTATGTACGCATTATGATTGAACAGCAAAACAAATTATGCATTCTTCTAAAATAGAATACAACAAGTCAAAAATATCTGACTGAATAGAAAAATATAGGAAAACAAAAAGTAATTTCTTGATGAAATAACCCATAAACAACACATAGAATTAGACTTTCTACTGAGATACTAAAAGCCACAAACCAATAGTATAATAAATGAATATCTAAAAATTCTAAAAGGTAGCCAATCTAGTATAGTTTCAATCCTGATTAGAGTCATGATCACTGTCTGAGGAACTGTCATTGCTATCACTTTCACCTCCTATGTTGATTATTATTTCTTCCTGTATTTCTTGAATGAGACTGTCTTTTTCCCAATATTCATCTTCAATTTTTATAACATGTCCAATAACCTTTTGCCAGTCACTGGCACTTACTGAAGCGATGGCCTTATTAGAAATTTCATCTAGTTTTCTTATAGTAAATTCGCCGCTTGTATTATGGCTTCTAATGAAAAATTTTACTTGTGCCCAAATCATCTCTATGGGATTAAACTGACACATATAGGGTGGCGTTCGAAGTGGGGTGTGTCCGAAACTTCTTATTAAATTATCTATCTTATAATTTTTCTCATCAGATGGTGGCCTATGTAGACAAGCTATTTCATAAAGCTCCATTTTTTTAGCATTAGGATCATGCTCTATACCTTTTTTGCTCAACCACGTGATGATGTCTCTTTTTAGAGAAGATCTAGTTGGAGGCTTGTCTTCCAAAGCTGAATGGTAAGGTGCATTATCCATTATTATAATACTATTAGGAGGAATGTTAGGAAATAGTTTTTCAGTAAGCCACTTCGTGAAATTTTCTTGGTTCATTTGACCGTGATAATCACCAGTGGCACAGCCAGCCTTGAAAATGAGACAGGCTCCAGGAACAAAACCATCTTGCGAACCCGCATGAACAATTATAAGTCGTCCTGGAAATGAATAAATAGCCTCATTTTAGTGTTATTTTAAGTTTGCCAACACCTTTTTGAATCACTATGTATAAAAAACATATTTTTGAGAAAAAAATACTTGCAAGGGATTATGTATTCAATTAGACAAATTAAATGAGCACTTATTAAGAATATTCCAAAATTGAGAAAAATGTATAATAAGCAAAATCGAGGTGAAAGAAACTTTATTACCTGTAGAACTTATATTGCTCAGGACACCCATAATTTCTTCGCTTTGCCAGCATTTCTTGAAAGTGAGGTCATTATCAACCCAAGTTTCGTCCAAATAAATAATATGCCTTCCTTCTTCCCGGAACTTTTTAATAGACCTAAGATACTTGTATCGCCAATGTAAAATACTGGGTCTTTCCATTAGTAATTTCCTTTTGTTGTGGCATTTACGCCAGTAAAATCCTTTTGCTTTTAAAAGCAGCCTCAACGATTCTTTACCAAATGGAAATTCCATTTCTTCCTTCAGTTTGATTAGAAGTTTACTACAAGTAGGTACCACTTTAAAATCACAGTAAAATTTTTCTATCATTCTCCGAATAATGGAAAAATCGACTCCATCAATTTTTTGGATCACAGAAGGGCGTGATCTCTTTTTTCCGGGAGAAGCTAAAGGCTGTGTGGAGGTTGCATTTTGCCTGTCTTTATCTTCTTTTCTAATTTTACTTATAGTTCGTTCACTAACACCCGTATAATATGCCGCCCTTGCATTTCTAGCTACCAGTGGATAAACGAAAGTATTGTTAGCCGCTTCTGCATCGCAAGCACGTATCACGTTTGCTATTATTTCCCTTGCCTGGCTGTGAATAACTTTCCCATGCTTGAATTCCATTATCACCACTAAACAGTAAATTATATTTTCAAAGTATTTGCCAACTGCCTACGCCTATGGGAGTAGGTTTATAAATGACCGTGCCATCGGCACGTTATTCTAGTTTCAGATAAGATAAGAGTTTTGGACCAATCAGCGACCGGATGTTTACCTGCGGCCTGGGTTTTCCAGCTACATTGCCAAATTCAGCGGAACAATTCTATATCTTAAATATGTTAATATGTATGGACCGCATTTTATGTAGAACATCTGACAACTTCGCAATTTTTTGTCCGCATTCTTTCGGCTTGCAATCTTTCGCTGGTCCAACTATACTATAGATAAAGTACTGCAGGAGGTAAATGGAGATACAACGTTGCCAAATTTCAAACGATCAACTTTCCATGCGTTACTGAAGCATTTAAATTTCAAATGGAAAAAACGGGGTCGTAATAGTTTACTACTGGATAGAGAAGAAATTGTGCTATGGAGGAGGGATTATTTAACAAAAATTGGGAAATATAGAAATCAAAACAGGAAGATTTATTACCTTGATGAAACGTGGGTAAACGCAGGACACACTACAAGTAAAGTATGGGTTGATGATTCTGTAACTTCATCCAGGAGGGCCTTTCTAGATGGACTGTCCACCGGATTAAAAAATCCAGCAGGTAAATACGAGTAATAGACAACAATCCGATGTTTTTCAAACCTTGGGAACAAGGTTCTAAACATTAATTCCAGGGGGCAGATAAAACATATTACAAGTAACAAAACTTTTATAACTTTCGATAAAATGCGTGGATGTTTTATTGTCATTTTCATTTGTTAGAACTTTTTTAAGCCATGTTTTTATGTGTTTTCGATATTTCAATAATTTTTTAATATAATCTAAAAGTATGTCGAATATTATAAACTTAAAAAAAGTTACTAAGTTTTATATTGTGTACCGTTCCTAATATTTCTAATCATTTTAATTCATACTTTAAGCTTTATAAAGTTATAATTTGTTAATATTAATATTTGCGCGTATTTCAGGTTCCTGATCATTCATTTTTTAAAGGATTATAACTTTAAATTAAATTGTGAAGCGCTGAGTAATCATACGACGTTCAATATTCTTTCTTTCAATATGACTAAATAATCCCAATTATAGCAATCTGATACTCATGTCTCAATGTTTTTTCGCTGAATGTGATGAAATCATTTGAAAAAGGTTCGCTTATTGAAATAAATCTACACCAGTTAGTACTTCGATTTCCAGGTAAAGGGAAAAGGCTCATTATCTGCCATATTGGCAGTGAGGATGGATTTGTTGTTGACGGTCTGTGGTGCTTTGAGTCTAAGAAAACTGGAGATTACCACGAGGAAATGAATGGCGAATCGTTTGAACAGTGGTTTTCAAAAAATTTACCGAACTTAGAGGAAAACGCAGTAATTGTGTTGGATAATGCGCCTTATCATTCTCGAAGAATGGAGAAGGTCCCAATAACGGCTTCAAGGAAAGTTGATGTTCAAAATTGGCTCCGCTCGAAAAATATCAACTTTGAAGAAGCAATGCTGAAAGTACAATTATTAAGAATTGTCAAGGATCACAAGGCGGAATATCAAAAATACGCCATTGACGAAATGGCAGCAAGTCAAAATAAAACTGTGCTCCGTTTACCTCCATACCATTGCGAGCTCAATCCCATTGAGCTCACATGGGCAGAGGTTAAAAATTATATAGCTAAGCACAATACAACTTTTAAATTTTATGACCTCAAAGGACTTTTCAAATAAGCACTAGAATTAATAACAGCGCAAAAATGGGAAAACTGTATTAAGCACGTGAAAGACAAAGTTGAAAAGAGAATGTGGGAACTGGACAATATTTTAGAGGAACAAGTCGAGCCATTCATTATTGACGTTGGTGCTTCAGGCAGTAGCGATGATGAAAGCTCATCAAGCTCATCTTTCCAATAAAAGATGTCGTTCATCAAATTCGGTAAGTTATAAGTAATTATAAAGCTACTGTATTTTTTAATTAATTATTGACATTTTTGAACCCATTTTGGCAAAACCTATTCAAGAATCTACTTTATAACAATGTTCAACCATGCACATTTTTTACGTTTTGAACGTTTTAATTTGGTTACATATTTACCTAGAAATCAAAAAATATACTAATCAATATTCTAAAAGCAATTTTAAGAGATATACGATTATTTTTAATTTAGGCTAATTTAAACGCCATTTTGAGATTATATTCGACTGTATTTCACCAAACATCAGGCGGCATCCGAAGCTGGAAATCGAAGCGAAAATTTTGAAACCCTTATGTATATTTACATCATTATATATTTCTTACCCCGCCCCCACATGATCCTATATCCATCACCAATCGTATACACATCGAATTGTGCTAATTTACTACAAAGTTACGCAAAGCAGCATCTACTATGTAAAATATGTACTGCGTGACTCTTAATACGTCCCTGCCGAATGTTACAGCGTTCGATGATCACGTGGTCTTGTTTATGTCCGGTCTATCTCTTATCTGAATATACTGTAGAGCTGGTCCGCCCCTGGCGAACTAAAGTAGCTAATTGTCCACCATCACCACCATGCGAGATTTGATCTCTACACTCTCAAAATTTCATCAGATTATATTATGATATTGCTGAAAAGTTATTTAGAAAGAATATTCATTTCCATTGGTGTGCTTCCGAAATAAAACAACACGGTAGGTAGTTTTAAATGACTTTATTGTTTTTCGAACTAGTCCCCACGAAGATTAATACACATCTGCATGCGCTCGAACCAATTTTCGAAGCACTTATTCCACTCGTTTGCTGGCAGATCAAAAACGGCATTTTTGAATGCGTCAACTGCTTCTTCTGGTGACTGGAACCTTTGATCACGCAGTCTGTTTTTAATTTTTGGGAAAGTAAAGAAATCGTTAGGACTTAGATCGGGACTATATGGAGGATGGTCCAATAATTCCACGTTTGCTTCCGTTAAATACTGCCTTATTTTTTGGGCTGTGTGCGAGCTTGAATTGTCTTGGTGGAGGATGATTCTTCTTTCGGGGTTGATTTTTCGAAGCTCGATGATGACTTTTGGCAAACAAATGGTGGTATACCAATGTCGCGACCATCTTTTTCGAAACACTTCGAGAACGGATGACTTTTGTTGGCTTTTCTTCACCTTGGAACACCCAAACAGCCGACTGTCGTTTATTTTCTGGTTCATAACAGTAAATCCACGATTCATCACCACTAACAATGCTGTACACATTTTTTGAGTTTCCGGAATTAACACGGTCAAGCGTTTTTTTTTACACCAATTAACCCTGGCTGCTTTCTGCTCTTCTGTCAACAGGTATCCAACGAGAAACTAATTTTCATACTCCTAATTCTTCATGTAAATTTTTTTGAATTGATATGTCACATGTCTATCTTCAATGAGTTCGCGCACAGCATCGACGTTTTCCTGGGTGACTGCCGTCTTTGGTGCACCTACCCTGGGATCGTCGCTAAGACTCACCCGTCCACGTTTGAATTCTCCATACCAACGGGAAATTGTCGACTGATGTGGCGCTTCGTTGCCGAATACAGACAGTAACTCAGCCAGGCGTTCTTGTTGCGATAATTGTCTCTGAAAGTTGTAATAAATTATGGCGCGAAAATGTTTCTCGGTTGAGTTCCATTTTTCTAATGACTTGGTGACACTTAAAAATTCACTGTAGTGAGAACGCTATTGTTGTGAAACTTTGAACTTAAGTTTACTAAAGAGTGAGGTTAAGATTCAGTACGGACGTTCGATCCGCGCGGCCTACTATGTTTGTATATGCAAAACTTAAAAGACATCCCTCGTATAATGAAAATCGTCACACGACCAAATAGTGTTAGAATAACCCATGTTTTGGACACTTTCTCTATGTTGCTCACCTTTCGACTTGCCTGCCAGGTATTTAGCATCGTGGTAATTACATAGCAACTATATTTTTCTGATAAGTGATGCACGAACTAAATGATGCTAAAATTTCAAACATTAAACTGCAGTAATACATTTTTTAAATTAAAAAAGAATGAAAGCAACTGTTGCGATCTGCCGTTACTATGAATTATTTCATTTTAAAAGACTTTAGCTTTTAAAACACAACCGTTACTCAGAGGGTGCGTGACCTCACGGTCAATTAGCAAAATATAGCAATGTGAATGAAACACATGGAAGATGAATATAACTTCTATTATTATAATAATTTATAATTTTTTCCTTGATTACTTGCGTCCGTTGATTTGGTAGTACGGATGACAAACAAACTGTAGTTTTCTATGTGGCTTTTGTTACATTGAGAATAGTGAGCATAAAATCTGTTCCAATTTGCGGGCAACCAAATTCCATCTCACACGCAACGAGTGCTTCTAAGAAAATCCAAAAGGAGCCTTCTGTTTGCCCAATTATCACACGGGCTGATGTGCACAGCTCGTTGGGAATTGATAAACGACCACCGAAATGGGTGGTACCTGTGATGCCCAGTTTGCGGTTCCGATGATAGACCATGAGAAAATGATAATTAGCCAAAATTATGGGACCTGGATAATGGTTTCCTGTTGTTTCGGGTATTGACTGGAGATGATCAGACTTCGGCACGAAAGCAAGCGGATATGGTGATCGTTGGAATTGAACGTCCTGTGCCCAAAAAATAAAATGCAATAGGACTCTGATAGTTTTTTAGCAACCCAAATGTCTTGACACGCATGCAACCCTACACTGAAAATCGTTTTGAATCTTCAAAGTTAATTTGAGCATTGCAAGTTTACCTCTGAAAATATGTAATAGGTTTTCTTGTTCAATTAATTTGTGGAAGATACAACACTTTTCCAAAACTGTAAACATAATATATACTAAGTGACATATAAATCAGAACACGCAGTTTAAATGGTTTTATTTTAATAAAATTTTGTATAAGTAGGTACTTAATGAAGCATAATAAGTAAATGATAAACATTTCAAAATGATTGCACTGCTTTAAAGCCCTTTGACCTTTAATAATGTGTGGATGCACCCTGATGTGCTACGCATCCTCCAACGCGCCTAGGCATGCTTCTGATCAGGTGGTCAATGTCCTCCTGTGGTATCTCATTTCAGGCAACCACCAACTCCTCTTGAAGTGCTTCTAGAGTCTGAGGAGGACGTTGCAAATTGAGCAATCTCCTACCCATCATATCCCACACGTGCTCAATTGGGGATAAGTCGGGAGATCTTGGTGGCCATGGTAACAACGTGACATCATTATGTTGAAAGAAGTCTATTGTGACTCTTGCAACATGTGGTCGGGCATTATCTTGTTGGAAAGTTGGATCTGCCAGGGTGTCAAGCTGGGTAAAAGATGGGGTTCTAGAACTTCGTGGATATAACGCTGCGCGTTCATGTTACCTCTGATGAAGATTAAAGGTGACCTGGAACCATAAGCTATAGCACCCCAAACCATAACTCCAACAGTGTGATGAACATGTCTTTCAACAAGAAACTGTGGATTCCTCCTTTCACCACGTCGCCTTCTAACCCTGGCACGACCATCGTGCATGCCTAAACAAAATCGAGACTCGTCACTTAAGACAATACTGTTCCATTCCTGATCCCAGAGTGACCGTTGTCTGCACCACTCAAGGCGATTACGTCGGTGTTCTCGAGTTAAAGGGAGGACCCAGTGTGGCCTGTATGAAAACAAGCCAAAACTTCTCATTCGTCGGTAAACACTTCGCATGTCAATAGGTCTTCCGCGTTCTGCAAACCATTCATTTGCAATGGACCTGGTAGTGGAGAAACGGTCCCTTAAGGCCAATAATCTTAGGCGGCGATCTTCACGGTTTGTTGTTCTACGGCGGCGTCCAGTGCCCCTTGCTCTTTGCGTACGGCCTTCTCGAAGCCATGCCTGACAACACCTAACCACAGTGTCTACACTTCTTTGCACTCTAACTGCAATTGCCCGAAAAGAAAGTCCAGCTTCCCGAAGTCCCACTATACGGCCCCTATCAAACTCACTAAGTTGACGAAATCGTACAGGTCTCCGTACTCTAGGTATCGTAACCGATCGTAAAGGATGTCAAGAACCAAAATCCGCCAACGTTGATTCTTTACTGCGGCTGAAATATTCATTTTTAGAGCGTTAGTGAATTAAAAAAAAGCAGTATAAAAACCGGAATGTCCAACTGATAAGGCTGAAAATTTTTTCACTTGTTATTTACAGTAAGATAAATACATTCACCAACTTTTATTAAAATAAAACCATTTAAACTGAGTGTTCGGATTTATATGTCACTTAGTATATATTATTATCTAAACGATATAATAATGAAAAATGCTATTTACATAACGGGTGTTTTTTTAAGAGGTATAGGATTTGATTTAAAAAAAAAACACAAACAATTTGAAAAAACGATTCAATCTTTATTTGAGTCGATAGAACGGTCGATATAATTTAATGTTTAAAGAATATTTCATGAAAATGTTGGCCGCGGCTCCGCTTTAGATGGCCCATGTGCAAGGTCCAATTTTGGCACACTCTCTCTAACATATCGGCCGGTACCTCACGAATAAATGCTTCAATATTGGCTTCCAGTGCGTCAATCGTTGCTGGTTTATCCCTGTAGAACACTAGCCTTAACATGGCCCCACAAGAAATAGTCCAACGGCGTTAAATCATACGATCTAGGCGGCCAATAGACGGGCCCCAAACGTGAGATAAACTGTTCACCGAACTCGCCTCTCAATAGGGCCATTGTTTCATGAGCGGTGCGGCATGTTGCACCGTCTTGTTGAAACCACATGTTAGCCAAGTCCAGCTCTTCCATTTTGGGCAAAAAAAAGTTTGTTATCATCGCACGGTAGCGCTCGCCATTCACAGTTACGTTCCGGCCATTGTCGTCTTTGAAGAAGTACGGCCCGATGATGCCACCGGCCCATAATCCACACCAAACAGTGATTTTTTCGGGATGAGTGGTAGCTCTTGCAATGCTTTTGGCTGGTCTTCACTCCAGATGGAGCAATTTTGCTTGTTAACGTACCCATTCAACCAGAAATGAGCTTCGTCGCTGAACACAATTTTTCGATAAAAATGTGGATCTTCCTCCAACTTTGCCAGCGCCCATTCACCAAATTGGAAACGTTGTGGGAGGTCGTGTGGCTTCAATTCTTGCACCAGATGTATCTTATAAGATTTTACACCTAAATCCTGTCGCAAAATTTTCCACGTAGTGGAGTAACAGAGGCCCAATTGCTACGAACGGCGGCGAATCGACATTTCACGGTCATCACTAACACTGGCGGATACAGCGGCAATATTTTCTTCAGTCCTCACTCTACGTCAGCGTGTTGGTGGTTTAATGTCCAATAATGTAAACTGGGTTCGAAATTTAGTCACAACCTTCCGAATAGCTCCCTCAGTAGGCCGACCAAATTGCCCATAAATTGGAAGCAGTGCTCGATGCACTCTCTTAACCGAGCATGAATTTTGATAGTAAAATTCAATAATTTGCAAGCGTTGTTCGTTCGTAAGTCGATTCATGGTTAAATTATAGACCAAACTGAACAAGTTTGACAATGACACAAGACACGATTCACGCGTCATCTGTCAAAAACAGTGTTGCCAAAAAGATACTAGCAAAAAAATCACCCATTATTACCAATTTTTGAGAATCGGTGAATGAGGGCTTATATCTTCTTGATTCGGTAACATCACGATTTAAAGATTACCTCATTTGTTGAGAAGTCTGTTTAAAGGGCATAGAGATGACACTATAATAAACGTTATTTTTAACACGACGAAGCCGCTTAGATATAACTTCAGCCGTGAATTTAATATTATAGAGATCCCAGATACACGCGTCAATTTAGATATCACGGATACAAAATGTGCTTAGTAGACTATAGCACCGTCGAAGCTTTTCTTGCTCTAACATTTCCCTACCATTTTCTTGAAATTATACCATGTTCAATGCTTTCAGTACTACCCACCCTTAAATAAAGAGAATAGGTGAAGGAAAAGTTATGTCGTTCCTTATTTGATGAATGTTATTCCTGAAACATACCCTGTGGTTTTCAGGTTCCTAAGACTTCTTTGACTGGCAGAATCAAACGACATATATGTTTCAATTCCTCTGAATTGTATGACGTTTCGGACACCACGGTATAGTCTTTATCAAGTACTATGACGAGGCCAACTATAGGCAATTTTTTTTAGACATTTGATGTTTCCTCAGCGATCTTATATTATGTACATTGCAGTGCTGGAGCACCCCAGAGGAATGCTTTAGGCCCAGTAAATCTATCTTCTGTATATATAGGTATCAGTAGAGGTATTTTCAGATAAATACAGCATTGATTGCAACTAGTCTGTTAAGTTATGCTAGTAAAGTACAGACTGCTATCAATAATTTAGTGAAATAAACCGAGAGGTGAAGAATCGAACTAACGATTTCAAATCGATCCAGGTTTGCTTTACGAGCTGAAGATTGACAAGTCATCGCCAGGTAAGCGTCAATGGTACAGACATACCATTGTATTCAAACGCTAAATACTTCCGCTACTTGCAATATTCTTGGTTACTGTGAAGACCATCAAAGCTGTCGCTCTATAACAAAATCATGGTTAATAGTCAGATCTTAAGACATGTGTGGCCTTATGGGTGACAGTGATGGGGCTGTTCCAAGAAGTTGAACATCAAAGTTACCAATTGCGTATCGTATTCGCCCAGTTTATCACGTGACGTCCTTTCAACTTCAGACACTCTTGGCTCTCTCTGTTCGTTTCGTGATTATGCTGCTTTGTATGCCACCCGCTGATTGTGAAGTGCGCTCAATAATTCGGTTCTTACATGCAAAAAAAGTTCGTGTTCGTCCTGCTGAAATTCACCGGCAGCTTATTGAAGTTATCAAAGCTTCGTTTTGCTTCACAATAGTGCTTTACGTTGCGGCAATCAAGAACACTGATGCAACTGGATTAGTTTCGTTGGGAGTCAGTACAGCCCTGACTTAGTAACGCCAGACTTTCATCTTTATCCAAAACTTATAGAATTTCTTGGTGGATAGCGCATAGAAAATGTGGACATGTTGAAAGAACCAGTTACTAACTAGTTTAACGATCAGGCGGCAGCGTTATTTGACGATGGGATCCAAAAGCTGGTGATACGACTCGGTAAATATTTAAATCTTTATGGTGACTATGTTGACTGTGATATAATTTACTCCAATACAAAACAGTTCTTACTTAGAAAATAACCATCGCATTCAAAGACTCCAAAATAAAGTGCTGAGGAACACAGTCAATGCCCCTTGGTATGTTTGTAATAAGGATACTTATCACGA